TATATATATATATATATATATATGTGTGTGTGTGTGTGTGTGTGTGTGTGTGTGTGTGTGTGTGTACTACAGTTTAAAAGTTTAAAAAAGCTAATCCAAGAATTAACATGGGATTAGGATTCCAGAAGAATGAAAAAAAAAAAGAAGAAAATGAAAAAGAGTTCTTAGAGTCATTGAAAAAGAATGGAATCAGTTATCAAACTTTGATGCACTTTTGCAATGACTGCAAGAATTTGTGCTGCAGTAATCAAAGGTAAAAGAGAATATTTTGGTGAGACCAAAATTTAATCATAAAAGGCTTCTTTTTTTTGTCATAATAAAATTTCTAATAAAAAATCATGTCTCACTTTTTAGCCATGTATAATAATTTTCTCTTACTTAAAGTACAAGATAACTACTTTTGGGACCATTTTGACAAATTACCGGGAATGTCCTGAAACTTTTGAACTGTAATATATATATATATATATATATATATATATATATATATATATATATATATATATATATATATATGAGGTGGAAGGATTATATTGAATCCATCGCTAGGTCTGTTGCTAGGAATATTGGTTTAATGTGTCAGACAATTTTTCTCTCCAGAAACTATTTTACATATTTAATATCTACCATATCTCCATGCTATGAATATTCCTGCCACATCTAGTCTGATGCTTCTGCTATATATCTAGAGATACTTGATACAATGAAGAATCTGCAATATTATTGGCATTTCGGCTTCAGTTACTTTCTCATTTTCATAGTAATTGTTCTAATGAACTTTCCACTATGGTACCTAGACTTTATGTATTTGAGTGTAATACAAGACTGGTGGCAAGGCCTCATCATTTTATTGTTGACATGGCTAGATGCAACCGTAAGTTCTATGGTAACAGTTTCTTCTATTGCACTTTTCGCTTGTGAAACTCTGTTCTGGTTTCTTGCTTTCCAGTCAATTTTGTTGGAAAATTGAAATGCAATATCAGTCGTTGTCGTCTGTCTTCTTAATTCCTGATTTTTTTGGGGTGGGGGGCTTGTTCTCTCTCCTTAATAATGAGACTTTTTTATTATTTTTCTCTCTGCTTAATGAGACTTATTGCGTTGCATAGAGTTAAATGTTAAAAAAATTAAATATACATATTTTTTTTAATTAAAGAACAAAAATTTACATCAATTAATAAAAAATATATGTCCGTTTATTCATTAACCTCAAATGTTTGGACGTTTGTGCTACTTAAAATAAATCCCATGCATAAAACGTTTTAATCTCGATACAAAGTACACATGTCTCGAGCGGTTTTGGCAACGTTGTGACCTTGATTAGAAGCAAAGAGAAGATGTCGAACATGCTCATTCTTGCCTATTTGGCATTCCATCTCAAAATGGTGTCTAATCTGAAATAAAATTGCGGTAACGTTAGACAACCTTTGCGATCCACTAACTGTTCAAAACTTTGATGATAGAAATCACAAGGTTTCGGCTCAAAATATTCATCAAGTCACGTTCTAAGCTCCACATCGTTGTTGAACAAAACACCCCTCAAATTGTTAGAAAGTGTCTAGAAAAGGTGGTAGTCTACAGGATCTAAATCAGGAGAATATGCTGGTTGTGGCAGAACTTCCCAATCGAACATTTTAATTGCATATTTAGTTATCATAGCGACGTGGGGCAAGAATTGTCCACTGTATCGCCGGTCAGGTCTCTTCAGTTGAATTGCTTCTTTGAGTCTGTTCATTTGTTTCAGATACTGCTTTTCATTGACCGTTTAGTTGTTCTGAAGCATTTCATATCATTTTGTCGATAATGAAGTCCTCACCGTACACAGCACATAAGTCTGGAGCAACTTTGGCAAATTAAAGCAGTCATGTCGAACATGTTCCTTCTTGTCTACTTGGAATTCCATCTGAAAGGGGTGTCTAATCTGAAATAAAATGTCAATAACGTTAAACAAGTTTCACAGGATGACCAGAGTTACTAAGAAGGAAAATTTTTCTAAAAGATTATTCTTCGAAATCATTCACAGAACATCAGAAAAAAATATGTAACAATCTAATATTTTAAATCGACTTGTGCCGTAAAATGTAAAAATGAAAACATCTTAAAACCTTTATTTTCAATAAAATTCTGATCATCCTATTCACGAGTAAATAACAGCAAACCATGTAGAAAGATGGCATCGAAGTATAAACCAAGAAATTCCCCCCATTTATTGAACCAATTAAAAGTCAAGAAGAAGAAAGGAGATTCGAACTTATTTAAATGGAGTTTGTACTAAGATTCCACAGGCTGCTTACCAAATAAGAAAATTTAAAAGTAATCATTGTAAAATTCTTTTTTATTTGAAGAAGAAATTTTTTCAGCCTTGGAGACAGTAAAAAAAACTGGTAGATGGAAGATTAAAAAAATGAAAATTTAATTAAATTCTTTTAAGTAAATATTTTTATCACATTTTATGAAAAAAAGATTAGGTCAGCTGAAGCACTTGTATTTTTCAGCAGAAGGAATACCAATTTGCCTGCAGGCGATTTAGTGTAGACTGTGTTTAAAGGAAAGATTTCTCTCTTTAATATACTATGTCTTACACACTTAAACACACACAGACACACTCACCCCCGCCACACACATACACACACAAACACACACACACACACATATATATATATATATATAATTTCGCGCATCTCAGAAATATTTCAGAGGATGGCCAGTGTTAATAGGAGGCAAAAAAATTTACAAAAGATTATTCTTCGAAATCATTCGCAGAACATAAAAAAAAAATGTAACAATCTAATATTTTGAATCGACTTTATTTTCAATAAATTTCTGCTCATTCTATTCACGAGTGAATAACAACAAACCATGTTCAAGTATGGTATCGAAGTATGATTGTTGGTGTGTTTTTTTTTACGGTTTATCAACCTCAATAGGTTATTTAATACCGACAAGATTTTTATTGCTGGTAATATTTTTTTTCAAAAATGTATTGCATGTAAGGAAAAAACCTCAAAAACTCGTTGCTCGTAATAACTTTTTACAAAAATGTATTGCTGATATTAAAACCTATTTTTTCACTTTTATAATGCTTTGATCCGAGTTAGGGGGTTAACTATTTGCCCATAGCTGGGGCCCTAACAGGCGCTACCACCCCTTGTCAGGGTAGACCTGGGAACACCAGTAGTTAATACGTTCCTCCACGTTCCTCAAAACCTCCTGATCAGAGGCCTTGCTGTTAGATGTAGTTTATCGTCTTGCCCAGGACGCGGGTGTAGTTTATCGTCTTACCCAGGACGCGGATGTAGTTTATCGTCTTACCCAGGACGCGGGTGTAGTTTATCGCCATACCCTGAACGCGGGTGTAGTTTATCGTCTTACCCAGGACGCGGGTGTAGTTTATCGTCATACCCTGGACGCGGGTGTAGTTTATCGTCTTACCCAGGACGCGGGTGTAGTTTAACGTCATACCCTGGACGCGGGTGTAGTTTATCGTCTTACCCAGGACGCGGACGTAGTTTATCGTCTTACCCAGGACGCGGGTGTAGTTTATCGTCATACCCGGGACGCGGATGTAGTTTATCGTCATCCACGGCACGCGGATGTAGTTTATCGTCATACCCAGGACGTTCAAATATTTGCACATTTGTGCTTCCTTAAAAAAATCCCATACAGAAAACATTTCAATCTCCTTTTTAATTTAAAAAGAAAAGTTTAAAACAATTGGAAAATCTTTAAAATATACAGATATCAATTTCATTTTCCACACACGTTCAAACTTGACAACTGTAAACTGCAACTATGTCCACTAACTCTGTAAAATTTATTGATCGATTTTTACACTATATCGATATTATGTCTTCTTAATTCCTGTTCTTTTATTGTCCTCTCTCTTTAATAGTAGTTTTTCTTATATTCTCTAACACTCAGTAGCTCTTTTGCGTCCTAGCGGCTTTATTGCCTTACTCATGGTGACAGCATTGGTGGTACTCATCGGTTTTAATGGTAGTCACTGAGATGCACATAGATAGTCCATTATATAATATTAAAAACTTGCTGTGGTTCAGCAGAGAGACGAAATGTACGAATGCTCGGTTGGTGTCGTCATCTGACGACTTCGCGTTCTCTTACCGGCATCTTGCATGTTATCATCGCACTGACAAGCTGTCAGCGTGTACCCATCGGAGACCGTGGATTGTTGACATATTCTGATGACGATACTATCAGCATTCAAAAGGAATCGATAACGTGGTGGTTTCGAAATGTCTTTGGTAATCACGTGATGCCAGCCTTGGTACCTCGTCAGTGTCAGCATGGGATCCGCGTGGCGCGAACGCCTCCGTGTGCGCGGGAAGAAATTTATTTGTTCATAAATGAAGAAATAAAGATTAAAAAAAAAAGAACGGGTCCCTTTCTGTGACCCTTTTGATAGTTGGAAACATTTTTATTTTTATTTTTTTTTTTTTTGTAGGCGCTTATATACAAGGAATAAAACGAAGAATATAGCGGATTCTTCTTCTTTTTCTTCTTCTTCTTCTTCTTCCTCTCCTCCTCCTCCTCCCCTCCTTCTTCGTTTTCTTCTTCTTCTTCTTCTTCTTCTTCTGCTCCTCCTACTCCTCGTTCTCTTCCTCCTCCTTCTTCTTCGTTTTCTTCTGCTTCTTCTTCGACGTCTTCTTCTTCGTCTTCTTCTTCTTCTGCTCCTCCTCCCCCCTCCTCCTACTACTCGTTCTCCTCCTCCTCCTCCTTCTTTTTCTTCTTCTGTTCCGACACCCTCCTCCTCCTTCTTCTTCTTCTTCGTTTTCTTCTGCTTCTTCTTCGTCGTCGTCTTTTTCTTCTTCTTCTTCTTCTTCTGCTCCTCCTCCCCCTCCTCCTACTCTGCGTTATCCTCCTCCTCCTTCCTCTTCTGCTGTTCCTCCACCCTCCTCCTCCTCCTCCTTCTTCTTCTTCTTCTTCTGTATACTCTGCCCCTTCAGGACGTTGGCGATCCTTACTCTCCACAACTTCATTGGTAGCTTTTACACAGGCCCGTTATATAGGTTACTCGCTGCTTTCCACTATCCCTCTTGCCTTCCTGTTCTCTGAGTGTCGATTCCTCCTAGTATCCTTCATTATATGTTCAAAAATTCTGTTCTCTTTCTGATTCGGAGTGTAAGCATCTTTTTCCATTTTCCTTAAAACTCATATGTATTGCTAGTCTCAGCATCCTCCTGTAGAACCATATTTCTGCGACCTCAAATCTTTTCATCAGCTGGAGAATTTTGACACTAACAGGGCATATTGAAAGCAAGATGGACAGGGGTGGGTGAGCAATGAATGACCTGCCTGACGATTTTATGTAAATGGCTGACAGGACAGGGAGTAGATGGATAGCAAAAAGATAAAACATACTAAGTGCTATAAAGGAGAGGAAGTTGTGGAGAGACATAATCGCGTATATCACCAAGGGGTGCAGGACGAAGAAGAAGAAGAAGAAGAAGAAGAAGAAGAAGAAGAAGAAGAAGAAATAGAGAGAATAGAAAGGTAGAAAATAGTGGACGTAAATAGAACGGTCATAAAATGAAAAGGAGAAAGAAAGAAAGAAAGAAAGAAAGAAAGAAAGAAAGAAAGAAAGAAAAGTCATAGATGGAACAGGTAATAAAAAACAAAAGAAAGAAAGAAAACCGAAAAGAAAGAAAGAGTGAATGACACAGAAACGTAGAAAGAAAAGGAGAAAAAAAAATTTTAAATCATAAATATAAAACATTATAGTAAACCAAAGAAAGAAAGAAAGAAAGAAAAATAGAAAGGTAGAGAGAAATAGAGAAAGAAAAATAGAAAAGTCATAGGTGGAAAAGGTAATAAAAAAAACAGAAAGAAAGAAAGAAAGAAAGAAAGAAAGAAAGAAAGAAAGAAAGAAAGAAAAACAAAAAACAAAAACGTAGAAAGAAAAGGAGAAAGAAAATTTAAAAAAATATAAAACATAACAGTAAACCAAAGAAAGAAAGGAAGAAAGAAAAATAGAAAGGTAGAGAGAAATAGAGAAAGAAAAATAGAAAAGTCATAGGTGGAAAAGGTAATAAAAAAACAGAAAGAAAGAAAGAAAGAAAGAAAGAAAGAAAGAAAGAAAGAAAGAAAAACAAAAAACAAAAACGTAGAAAGAAAAGGAGAAAGAAAATTTAAAAAAATATAAAACATAACAGTAAACCAAAGAAAGAAAAGGAAGAAAAGAAAATAATAGAAAGGTAGAGAGAAATAGAAAAGAAAAATAGAAAAGTCATAGGTGGAAAAGGTAATAAAAAAAGAAAGAAAGAAAGAAAAAAGAAAGAAAAAAGAAAGAAAGAAAGAAAAACAAAAACAAAAACGTAAAAGAAAAGGAGAAAAAACAAAAATATAAAAGAAATAGAAACCAAAGGGAAATATAAAAATAGAAATAGAATATTAAAAACAAAAGAGAAATGATAGGAAATGACTAGAAAGAGATAAAAAAATGTCAGAGAGAAAGGGAACTGGAAAGAAACAAAGGAAAATACAGAAAACAATAAAATAAAAAAATATATAAAAAAATGAAAAACTAAACTCGAGGGAGCTATTTATATATTTATTTGTTTTTTGATTATTATGGATGAAAACTTTGGAATTTTCTTGTCTAATAGACTCACATCCGATTTATCCATTATCTTCTTCTAATCCAAGGATCCATTTCTGATCGCCTGGCGTTCTCTTTCTTCTCTCTCTCTCTCTCTCTCTCTCTCTCTCTCTCTCTCTCTCTCCATTTTATTTTATTATTTTTTTTATTCTTAGTTCAGCCATCTTGCTCATTACCTCATGTAGAGCAGTGTCCCCTTTTGGGCTGCAGATTTGTTACGGATAGATTTACGAAATCCGAAGTCCTTTCCGACGTTCTTTTTTCCACCATATTATACTTGCAGAAACGGTCGCGCATGCGCACAAAAGTGTGTTTGTTGTGAGTCGATACAAAGAGAAGCGTTTAGCCAGCCCCGTAAAATAGAAAAGGAAATAAGGAAACGAGGAAGCAAAGAAACAATGCGAATATTACAAGGATAATAATAATAATAATAATAATGGAATGGCCGACATCAAAGATGATTTCTACCGATACACACTGCGCTTTTCCTATGCAGCCTTGCACGCAGACACGCATGCGCGTACACATATACACTGGAAACTTATAAACGACCACACTCTGAACTTAAATCCACATCGGTAATGCAACACATCGTCTGTGACATGCAGTGTGAAAGTTCGGAGGATACACGCGCCACACTTCCTTTCAAAATCAGAGATTATATGAAATTAAACAAACGTAGACAGTACGCATGCGCAGTTTCTGTCGAACCAGTCGGTAGATGACGAACTTAAAATAAAGACACCATGTCGTCTATTGTCCATCTCTGCAAACAAGCAATGAGTCGAGTGCGGAGTGGTATTATCTTAGTGATTGTTAAATCTGGATTAGTGTGTCTGTGAATTAAATACGCATGCAAGTCAGATTTTAAGAATGGCGGCATTTCCTGGATTTCTTTAATCCCTTTAAAGATGGCGGACGATACTGGGAAAAGGGGCTTTGTGCAGAGAAATTGAGATAACAGGAAAGATAATGTCTTCTCTTCTGCTACTTGCCTTTTCATGAAACGTTACATTCTGGTCACTCATAATCATTAACTGTTCCCAGTGTCTGATTTTCATTAGCTTCATGCGATCAAATCAGCTCAAGATGGCGCCCCTTAAAATACTGGTTTCGATTGCGCCAATCATTTTCATCGCAGTCACTTAGAATTAGATATTTGGTGTTCATATATTTACTAAAGTCCCTATAGTCTGGCTTGAGGCTACAACTTGCTTACAACGTTCTGAAGCTGTCACTCGCGGCTCGGAAAGAAAAATTGGAAAGCCGAGTTCCAATTCCAGTTTGGTTCGTTATATTCACTTACGCGAAAGTACCCGTTGGAATTCATCTCCTCTGCAGCTATGGGTTTAATAATATGATTTGTATCTGAAAAATCATTTTATTCTCAAAATGCAATATTCACTTGCAAACAAAAAAAAAAGTATATTTTTACAATATGTTTTGCTCTAAATAACCCAGAACGGCTTGATAAGCCGCAATAATTTAAAAAAAAATACAAATCAATCAATCAATAAGCTATCAATCATTGTGTTTGGTTGATAACAAGTTCTGTAAAAGGTGTTATGAGGTGTTGACACACTTATCGACAGCCTGATGTTTGGAAAATTTATATAAAGAGATAATTGTTAGAAAATTACATGACGAATACAACGTAAACGCATTATATATATATATATATATATATATATATATATATATATATATAAACAACTCAGTAATCATTAGAATTTAAAATATTTTAAGCTTTCTAATATCTTATTGAATTTTAGATATTTAGGCTTTATACTCTTGCGAATACATTTCTTGAAGAAATGTTAAAATCTATATTTACATATACATATATATATATATATATATATATATATATATATATATATATATTAGGTATGTCCAATCTTATATCTATAATTCTCAAAATGTGTGTGTGTATGTATGTCTATGTATGTGTGTGTGTGTGTGTGTGTGTGTGTGTGTGTGATCAGATGTGTGATCGGTGACAGTTTTAATCCGATTTTGATAAAAAAAAGTTTTTTGATAGATAATTCTTCAGTGCCGGTTTTGAGTCGAAATTGTTGGCGACAATGGCTCTCCACTATTTCCTGTCCATTATAACTCTCAGCAACGTTTTACTATCTGTTCTTGGATATATATCTTTCATAAAAAAAACTTTAATAAAAGTAAATACGCATAAACAAAAAAACGCATTTTTTTTTTAAATATTGTGGTCGCAGGATCGTAGCAAGCGTTTTCCATTTATGATTTGTAGTTTGTATTTAATAAAAATATTACTTAACCGTTAACAGAATGTTAAAAGATTATAAATTATTCTTAGAATTAAAAAAAGAAATGAAAATAATTCTTTTTTTTTTCGTAAGACGATATTGCTCATAATATTCTTTACTCATAAAAACGCTTAAAAGCTTTTTTTAATTAAACAATGTCTTAGTTTTATTACATTTTTTTTATTTTACGATTCAGAGCAGATTTTCTCTAACTGAGGGTCCTGAAATGTTTTCCCAGCATTTGTCCTTATAAGTAGTATACACATTAAGCCCTTATTTCACCTTTTTTGGATAGACTTGTGACTGGCGACGAAAAATGGATCTTTTATCGAAATGTTAAGCGTCGTAGACAGTGGCTTGGTAAAGAGGCAGGACCCCAGCCACAGCCGAGAATGGAACTTCATGGGCAAAAGTTTCTTCTTTCAATCTGGTGGGATCGCCAAGGAATAATCCACTTTGAATTCTTACCACCTAATGCAACAATGATTGCTCAAATAAACTGTCAGCAATTAGAGCGTTTGAACCAAGCTTTGAGGAAAAAAAGACCTGCTCTAGTGAATGGAAAAGAGGCGATGTTTCATCAGGACAATGCGTGACCCCACACAGCAAGAATCACGTCACAAAAGATCGAAGAACTTGGTTGGGAGAAAATTCCTCATCCACCTTATTCTCCCGATCTTGCTCCTTCAGACTACCATTTGTTTCGTAGCTTACATAATCATTTGGAAGAAACAGCTTTTGTAACACAGGAAGAGATTAAAACTGACATTTGTGAGTTCTTCGAATCAAAGCCAAAAGAATTTTACAGTAATGGAATTAGTAAGCTTGTTAATAGATGGAAGGAAGTCATAGATAATCAGGAAAAATACATTGTTGATTAAATCTGTAATTAAATGTAACATTTGGTCACTTGTTTTCTTTATTCAAAATTCGGACAGAACTTATGGGATGACCTGATATAAAATTTATTAAGAGCTACAAAAGATAGGAAATTGTGGAGAGCCATGATCGCTTACGTTCTAAAGGACATAGCATATATAAGAAAAGTGTGTGTGTGTGTGTGTGTGTGTGTGTGTGTGTGTGTGTGTGTGTGTGTGTGTGT